AGTTTACATCGAAGAGAACTATTGGAGCCAAGTTTACTAATCAGAACGTAGTTATTATAACCTAGAGGTGGTGTTCATTCAATAAATGGAAGAAAGAAAGTCATTTTGGCGAATTTTCTACCCTTTAATACGGGCTAAGGTGAATATTTTTACTGTCCCATAGATCAGGTTTTGACAAAATACATGGGATAAATTCTTCATTATCAATTTACATTTGGTATTGGTATTATACTATTTTTCTACACAACACTACTGTAATCGTGAGCCACCACATCGCACAAGTTTGTTCTCCTCGCTTTCACGCCGCCGTCACTCGTTTCGTGCGCGTCGCCTATACTGTAGATGTATATGCTGTTTGTATGCATCGCCACCGTTCCGCCGTCGTGTTGCTTCGCCATCGCTCGGCCATCACCATTTTCATGCCCTAGGCCTGATACTTGACTAGCGCTTTTTTTCCGATTATAATGAGAGAAAGAAGTAATTATTTCTTTGCCAGTTCCCAACGTGCACTAGATACGTAAAGATGCCATTTTTTCATTGTCGGCGTGCATCCGTACCCGTCTCCACTAGGCTAGTTACTAAACTGCTTGCGTGGCTAGCGGGAAATGTGGTGGAAGGGGAAGGCTAGTTAGCAAGTGAATAGATGGGCTGGCTATTCACTTGCCTATCCCCGCTACTGGTGTAAGTACTTGTAACTTGTCTCGTAGGTTGACATTGGGTTAGTTGTCGCCTTACAAGTTACTGGTATAAGCAACTAACCCATTTACTATAATAATGTTAACTCAGCTTCAGACAACAACGTGATAATTACAGTCTCAGATTGTGGTTTACTGTCCTGCTGATCAAGAAGGTCCACATTTTGTAAAAAATATCGATTTGAATATCTCAACCCAACTCGGGGCTTCTTGTGGGCTTCTTTAATGGCCAGAGTTTCAAACCACTCCATTTGCCTTTTCTTCGAGGATATAGACTAGCTGTGCTGCCCTTATTGGTGAGTGATTTCTCTGGGACGTAACTGAAATAATATCAGACATACTATCATTTAAACAGATTCAAAAGTGAGATATTACACAGGGTGTTTGTTAACTACGGTAAGAGGGTGATTTGAGAAGAAGAGAGAACATGTGTTTATTATCGAAGATACAGGACCTTATTGACAAATACTGGTAAAAAGAGAACATGCGAATAACTACATCTAGATAGATATACTACTAATTGCATAAATTACACTACTACAAGTGATTTTTGACTGTTACATTTATGGATGTTAAGTTTTCCCAAATGTCCATACGGTTTCCCTTATTTACTTTATTTATAAGTTTTATATTCTCTGGTGGGGAAAAGTTATGTTTGTTTTGTATGGCGTGTGTTGCGAGGTTTGATTTATATACTATTGGGTTCATGTATGCCTTTTTGTGTTCATCGTACCTTTGGATTAGTTTTTTCTTGGTTTGGCCGATATAGAATTTGTTGCAGTCCGAGCACTGTATACTGTATATCCCGTTTTGGTTTTTGTCTTCTTCTTTTTCATAGCTGTTTATTTTTTGTCTTATTTTCGTGTTTGGCTTGTATGTGATGTTGATGTTCAATGGCTTGAAGATATTTGTTAGTTTTTTGGTTTGGTGTCTCACGTACGTAAATGCTGTCCATCGTTGTGTTGTTTTGTCTGTTGGGTTGGCTTGATCCTTGTTCTGTATTTTTTGTTTGATTCTGTTTTCTAATTTATATATTGTCTTTTGGGTGTATCCGTTTTCGTTCGCTATTTGGTATATGATTTTCCGTTCTTTGTTCCGAGCTTCCTTGCTGAGTGGTATCCTCAACATTCTATATATGAATGCGTTATATGCAGTAATTTTTTGTGATGGTGAACGGTTTGAATTTGCGGGTATGGTAGAGCTTGTTTGTGTAGGTTTCCTGTATATTGCCATTTGAAATTGTGTTTTGTTGTGGTTATATCCGATGGTTATGTTCCGCTCGTTCATTAGTACACGAACCCCAGAACTTGGTTGCGTACCTCAAGTTTGACTCAATGAGAGCACAATTGACATTTTTTGCTGCAGCATAACCTAACTCTCCAGCTGTAGACCTGAGAGCAAAGCAGCCGGATGATAAGTGTTTGTTTAGCATGTCAATATGATTTGTAAATTTCAAATTAGTGTTTCTGTTAAGTCCCAAGAATTTTATATTGTTGTCAAATGGGAAAATTCCCAGATGTTCTGAAACAATCAAAAACAATACCTATATTCAAGGCGGGTGATCCGAAAAATGTTGATAATTATAGGGTCATCTCCATTCTCAGTCCAATTTCGAAAGTATTTCTACCTGTGTATTGACGAACCTAGCATATTTCATATGGTAAAAAAGGTAGTAAATAAGTTGAATTGAATTGATATAGAGTCAGCACCTTCCAAAAGAAAGATTGGTTTCTCTGTCTGTATCTGTAGAGTAGGTAGGGTAAGTGTAGGCCACAGCACTTAGGCCACATGTGACCCATTGTACATCCTCCCATGGAGTTGTCCTCCTAGGTCATCATCCTGTCCTTTCCAGGAAGGTGGACAGGTCTCTGGGAGACATCTCCTTTATATCGGCAGGTGTAGGCCAAGACTCGCCTAACACACATTGTCTTATTGATGATAACTCCGGACAATTGCATAGGAAATGAAAATGATCACTTGGTCATCTAAACACGTGTCTAGGTGTTAAAATAACGGTTTGGTGTTGGGAAAAACTCCTAGTAATTTCAATACTACACAAAAGATACCAAACAGTGCATCACAAAATATAACTTGTACAAATTTAATGACTACTACAGAAAATCATTCAGAACCAAAAAAAAATAGGATTCATGCAGGAAAATATGCTTAGAGACAACTTGTCAAACTAGTGAAAACTTATCGAAATGTCAACAAACTCACATGAGGTTGCTGTCATTAGTGAATGCCGAGGTAAATGCAGTAAAGTATTGGTGAGTGATTTGTTTATTCCAAAAGATTCATACATTCTTCCAGAGAGAGGCCATCTTGTACAAGCAAGGTGGGTTCACATATCACAACGATTATGTACAGGATACGATTTTAATACGCATCATCATCCACCATAACCAAGGACACATTTACTAGAGCGTACAACATACATTATTATAACAACCGGAGGTCTTCCACGAACTGGGAAATATCTACACGAATCAAGCGTAACTGAAAACCGTAATTGCATATCGGCATTTTTTGGTGGATGTTGGCATTTTGTCGATTTGTACATTGCAAATTTTATTAAAACAAACGATAAAAATAAAATAAAAACAACAATAAAAATTAATTGGCGCTCCGGGGCGCGTTCATTGATTCCAGTGGCGCATTTGCTTTTTCAGCTGCAGGAAAACCCGGAAAAACCTGCAGCACCACATCATCTGAAGATCTTGATCTAACAATGTCCTCTCTCTTATGAAACAAAATGTAGGGTATCTCCAGAGGCTCCAATAAATTCAATGCATCGCCAGAACACTTCGTGACACGACTATCGTCAAACTTAAACCAGTCCGTTTCGTTTTTGACCAAGGCGTAATAATGACCAAATTCAACGCCAGAATCACAGTGAACAACGACTGCATGAATATTATAATAGTGGTCTGCTAGGTTGAAATGTTCATCTATTTTGAACCTTCCAATGCATGTATATTATTCTGGTGCTGGAGTGCCTTGCTGTTGAAGTGGACTGTATTTGTATCCTTATTTATGTACTCCTATCGCTACCACTCGAATCTGTGCTGGTTCTGGTAATTGAAAATGCTGTTGCATATATTTAATGAATGTATATTTTACGGAGTTACAAAAACCAACATTTCTAACTATCGTTGTTTTGACAATCTCTTTTCTGTCGTCATGACAGTTGTCATAAAACATGACAGGGGCGTATCATATAAGAAATTTAACATATGTCCCCGCCTTGAAAGGTCGTGAACATTCAAATTGATTGAAAATACAAATGAAATATTAACAGTCAAAACAAATCACGATTTTTAACTTAATGTTCAGAATCGATTGGCAATAAACATATTTTTGTGACAGCACGCTTCATTTCGCCACTAGTAGTTTTTACGGTTACAACTCGTACCACACCATCAACACATGGATGCAGTAGCGTAATGCGATTTGTTCAATATGATATTGTCGCAACTCATTACTCGTTTGGCTTATCAACGAGAGGATTTTATTCGCTGTTTCACCCATTCATCATTCATCCAAATAATGAAAGAACTCATTTAAAAACTCAATTAAATATTTATTGTGACGAAACGCGGAAAATACTTCAGGAATAAACTTACACTGCAATGTTAATCAAAAATGTGCTGCATTGCTGGAACCTTCTCTGAAGATTAATAGATACTGAAAGAATTTCTAATGCTGTATCTTCTTGATCTTGACCTCCCTCCAATATTTACTAAGATTTATACGCTGACATTGCAACTTTGATCCGGTCGCTGTACTACGGTAAAATGTTCAGTAAGCAATCTGTGCAAAGTTTGCTTATTTGGAGATTGTTTTATATTTCTATATCCTGTGATCGTATCAATGTCCATGAACTTGGAATATTAAAAGATGGAATTCTGAATACTGAGTGTTTTTGTTTAAGAATATTAAATTTGAGGTTGAAATATCTCTCAATTCATGTATTCGCTTAAATGAATTTGAATTATTTCATGATTATTTTTCATAATTGACAATATGTTGCTTTTGGAATCGTCTATTCCGACACCCATCTATATATTTCATCTTCTATACTAGTATAAATGTGTGTGAGGACGTATGTATGGATGTGGCTCTTTCACGTCTAAACGACTGACCCTCTTTGTGCTTAAATTGAATGCCATCAGTACTCCGAATAAAACATAATAATCGCATCAGTTACTCTAGACAAGATAATCAATATATCTCCTTCAGTTTATTTACAAGGTTCGGTGAATTCATTTTATATAAAAATAACACAATTTTTGGCACGGATAAACATTCATTTTCAATGCCGCGCGGTTTGAAGTAATAATTGCTTCGTCTGTTGACTGAAGTATTTTCATCGCAGCCGTGTTTGTTGAATGACTGACGGGATCCGTGAAAAACATCCGCCGCGTCAGTGAAACTGCAGTCTGATTTTTCTCCATGGTGAGTGTTTATGCACGATTGAAAATTTGATTATGTGATATTTCACGTGATCCTCGCTCGAGTTATTTACAGAATGAGTATTTTGGTTGGACTTTGAATGTTACGTAATTCGAATCGATTGCGTTGGTTTTATTGGTATTCGGTCACAGTTTGGTTAATTTATATACAGGGTGTTCCTTAAAAACATGCTAGTATTCAAGGAGGTAATTCTTAGACCCATTTTAAGAAAAAAACTTCCTATGGACGTATGTCCTAAACGCCTTAACTTTTGAGATACAGGGTGGCAAAGTTTTCAAAAATAATCAGTTTTTTAATAATAACTGAGATAATTTTGTAGACATCNGATATGTAGAGGACGTAAGTTGTTAACGAAGGCTCCTCCCCATATTATAATACTGTATCTTAGAACGGATTCTACTAGGGAAGTATAAAGCATTAGTAGGTTTTTGCGTGAGAGGATATCTCTTATAGTGTCAAATCTGTGCAATAATGCTCTCAGTCGTTTATTTAAATTCGAGATGTGCTCGGTCCACCGAATGTGCTGATCCAGAGTCACTTCCATATATTTTATTGATGATACTCGATCTATTTCTGGGCAGGCACATGTTGTTTTGTGAAGGTTTATAGAATAATCTGTAGTGGGTTGTGTATTAACCGTAGGTGTAAAAGGTATGAATTTAGTTTTAGAGACGTTTAGGGTGAGGTTATGGTCCAGCCAAATTTGCAAATTTCTTAGATCTGCTTCTGCGGTTGATTTTATTTCTTCCCAGCTTGTGCCTGTGAATATCAGAACTGTGTCATCGGCATAGCATATTATGTTGGACGACAAGTCTCGTATTTGAACTATATTATTCATATAAACAAAAAAAAAGTGGCCCCAGAATAGTCCCTTGTGGTACACCCATTTCGACAGTCAATTCTGAGCTCACTTCTCTTCCAATCTTTACTTTTTGTGTTCTGTACTTCAAATAGTTCAGCAGCAGGTCCAATGCGATACCTCGAATTCCATAGTATTCTAATTTTTTTAAAAGGATATTATGTGAGACCGTATCAAAGACACCAAGGTCAAGGAAAATAGCCAGACATTTTGATGATTCGTCTAACGCTCGCACTGTTTTATCGAGGAAATCAGCTATGGCATTTTCAGTGCTAGATTGTTTGATGAAACCGTACTGCCTGTCAGTTATAATTTTGTTGGCAAAGCCTACAGCGATGCCAGTGACAGGTTCTGGTTCGATGAAGCTGCTTGCAGCATCCTCTTTTGCAAGGAAGTCAGCAGCCTCGTTGCCTTCCAGGCCAGTATGGCCAGGAATCCATACCAGAGACAATCTGTTGAGTCTTCCTATTGAGGGGAGTCTTTTTTGGCATTTTGCTATCAATTTAGATGGTGCTCGGTAGGAGTCAAAGCTTCCTACGCCGCTTGACTGTCCGCGCGAGAATATTTTTATCGACCTGTGTATGAGATTGGATTCTACCAATCTCTACGCACACAATGGAGAATGTTCTTCAATTTGGTTTATTACAGCAAATGCAAGTTTGAACAAAATAAAGTTGAGTTTAATTCATGAGTTTTTCAAATTCACTTCGAAAAGTATTCAAATTGATGTTTCAAATATTGGGTTTTTTAATTGTAACTAATGTTACTGCGGTTTCGTCCTATATGGACATTCTCAAACTGATACTAATTATTGTATTGAGGTATACGACCAGGCGTATACCTGAACGAGACAGACCACCCAGTCACGTGGAGTGCTTTCCTCAACCTGTCACTTTTTCCGGCAGTAGGTATACAAAGTTCATTTCGCGTCATTTACTTCCGGAAGTAGCCCTTATTCAGACAGACTGTGACGTCATCACACCAGCCTGGTGGTTTGGGAACACGCTGGGAATCAAAAGTTGTTGATTAGAACTGAACTGCATTTGAAATTGTATGAAACCTATTTTCTGGGGTTTTGACCGTAGTCTGCAGGTTTTCATGCCTAACGTTCGTCTACTACTGCAATAGACATTATCAAAGGTGATGTGATAACGGCCATACGACCCAGTAGATAGAACTCCACAATATCCCCAGCTAGGCAGATCAAGAGAAAAACTTTCCTTCCATATGTTGAAAATATTAAAGACCGTATTTTTAGAGAAAAAAAGTAAAATAGATATATTGAAAGTATTCGAATAAAATCTATATTGTGGCAAAAAAATATAAATATATTATGTTCAACAATTTTGATTAGTGGCCCACCTAGGTTCTGAACCTAGCCGAGGGGGGATGGTGAACCCTATGACCCCCCTAGATCCGCTCTTGTTTCGAAAATAATTTCAAAAATCGGTGTTTCAATTCAAATGCTTCAAAACTAAACAACGGTTAACCTCAAAACTTTTTTTTATATTTGAATGGTCAGTAATGCCAAATCCATCTACTTTCAGGCACCTGTTCCCGAAATAAAAGTTCCCATCATTTGGGTTTTGGGTGGACCTGGTTCCGGCAAAGGGACCCAATGTGACAGAATCGTTGCCAAATATGGATTCACTCATCTATCTTCTGGAGATCTCCTACGAGCAGAGGTAAATATTTATAAAATCTTACTCATTGCCCAACTAATCAATGACATTGAATTCACAAATTCAATCTTACAAATATCTATACAGTAGACTCCAGTTGTTCCCTATGGATTCAAATCTTTTTTATTATCGATGATCAGAAAAGTTTACTGGTTCCTACACACAAATCGTATTCGAGAAAGTTCTTCAGAATATGAATTCACAGCCTTTCAAAAAACTTTTGAGGCAAATATCCTGATTGTCTCTTCAGAAGATGTAACTGAATTGAATTTTTCATGCCAATTCATAGTAAAACATGACTTATTTCAGTTTTCTATGAATAAAAAGCAGTTTCCACTATTTTAAAAATTGAAGATTTGGAAGTAAATTGGAGTAGTTTCAGAGTTAGGAGGCTGTGAATGTATACGAGCCTGTAACAACCAGCCTGAATTTCCGTACTATCAAATTAACAAATCATTAATTTTCAAGGTCTCGAGCGGTTCTCCAAGAGGTAAAGAACTGACGGCGATAATGGAGAGGGGTGAACTTGTTCCGATGGAAGTGGTTCTTGATCTCCTCAAGGAAGCGATCATCAAAGCATTGCCCGACTCCAAAGGTTTCCTGATAGACGGTTATCCCAGAGAAAAAGAACAAGGTATCTTGTTCGAGAAAAACATAGCACCAGTGAATTTGGTTCTCTTTTTCGATGCTTCAGAAAACACTTTAGTAGAAAGGTTATTGGGTAGGGCGAAAACCTCCGGAAGGGTAGATGATAATGAAGAAACGATAAAGAAGAGGTTGCACACTTTCAATACTCACAACGATCAAGTGGTACAGCAGTATCCGGACAAGCTGAAGAAGGTATGTGGCCTAGTTTTACTGGTACCGTTGTTACCTGAGTATGTTCCAAGCGACCAAGTGATCATTTGTAAGCATTAAGAATAATATTTGAAATTTTGTGAAGGCGAATGGTATTTTCTTTCCTCACTGCGAACGGTTGTAAGTTATAGACATGGAGTGAATTCTAGCAGAAAATGACAAGTCAGCGAAAGGTCCCTCTACTCGTCTGGCCCAGATTGCTGCGATGTTTTGGTAAGCTCTTATGATCTGAGGATATTACAGCAGTCAAACCATAAATAACTTATCATTACAGGAGCTAGTCCAACATAACAATTTGGAGAAACTCTAACTGTTTTTAAGAGCGACTTTCGATATCATAGTAGTTTCTGATTTTATTTTTTAGCTGATACTTTTTCCACAGTACACCAAAAAGGTCTGTCAAATATTGAACAATACCATCTTCTCTCTGATCTTCCCAAAACACCCATTGCAATGAATTCGTTTTCTGTACTAATCTTTAGAGATCTTTTGTTGACGTTTGTTTCCAGGCACTCGGTAAAGAGTTGATTCATTCCACTCTTGAATTAGATAGATAGATAGATAGATAACTTTATTACCTCATTAGCCACATAAGTGTAGGTTCGTTAGTTACAATCATCGGATACATCCGGATACAATCATTAAAATCTAACATTATATTGAAAAAAATATATAAAAAAAAGGTAGAATTAATGATATAAAAATGTTAAAGAAACAGTACAATAAACAAGTATTCTCACCCAGATTTGAATGCAAAATTACTATTTATTAACATTTAGAAGATCTACGAATTCTTGAATATTATAAAGCGGATTGTCAGCCAGTAGAGTTTTTACAAGCTTTTTGAATCTGTTAACGGTGGTATTTTTTATTTCCTTCGGCAGCAGGTTATAAAAGTAACTTCCTGCCCACTCTGGTGATTTTTTATACGAGAGGTGCTTGAAGCTTCTGAGATGTATATTCTCCTGTTTTCTCGTAGAGTATTGATGAAGATCTGAATTTTTTTGTAGGTTGATGATATTCCTATGTGTGTCTATCAATAATTTGAATAAATATATACCTGTTACGGTAAGAATTTTTTGAGATTTAAAAGTTGGTCTACACGATTCACGGTATTCCAGGCTATATATTAATCGAATAATGCGTTTCTGGATCATGAATACCCGGTTCCGTTNACGGTGTACCCCCGTCAAGACTAGTATTTCCCACGATTCAAATCTCATATCTACATTATACAGGGCTATTCAAATTCGTTTCTGTACGTGGGGATCACGTAAACGATAAGAGATATAGTGTCGGTTAAATTGTGGCAAAGTTGTGTATCTTAGAGACCTATTCAATGATGTGAAGAAATTGAATATAGCTCTTTTGGTTCTGGAGATATACAGAAAAAACAAAAAAATCCCAAATTATATTTTTGCCTATTTCTGCTTTATTCGCAGACATATTGAAAATCTGTTCACATTTTGCTATTGGCACTTGATGTGGGCTCTCAGAATATATCCATTAATTTTTTATACAGGGTTTCATCTGACTGAGGCCACCCCCATCTTTGAATTTTTAAATACGGACCTGTATTTTTGTTGTAGTTTTTGGATCGTAGACATTCACTTCATACTGAGAAATCAAATTCAACTTTATATTTCGGGGTGTTTCGGTAATATTCGATTATAAGTGTGGGAATTATTCCCTTTTAAATTACGGCCCTGGAGATTGGTTGACCGAGTTGAATAAAAACATAATAGCAACTTTCACGTCTCCCTATGTATCGTAGAGTTTTTCTAGAGTTTTTTTAATTTTTAGTTACCTATTCATATTTTTTCCATTGCTCTGAGCGTTTTCTACAATGAACTTCGAATAAGAAAACCTTTTATGATTATTTGAAACATATCTACATCAAAAATATATTATATGTGTTTCAATAAGCAGAAAAAGATATAATAGCAATAATAATATCCGAAACGAACACTATAATTGTAATGAAAATTGAAATGAAGTAATTTATATAGGTTATGTTGTATACATCCACAGTTAGAAATTCCAATGATGAGATATCTCGCACACTGTTATTCATTTCGTTATTATGCCTTAAGAGGAATATGTATACACATTAGCTAAGAAAAACAAACACATAATCATCAAAAAACGAAACTGCTTTTTGTGAAGTTACTTCAAATTTTTACAGCCTTTGATAATATTGACGTGCCTTTTTCTATCTTCATTTCAAACTCCGTCTTTTGTTACAGATAAACGCAGAAAGAAATGTCGATGACATTTTTGCTGAGGTGACTACGTACTTGGATCCACTGGTAGTTTAAGTAAGGTTTCACGAGGTCTACTAGTACCTAAATAAGCACGGTGAAATCAAGATTTAGAAAATGTTTTAATTTATATCAGTTATTTATTAATAAAAAATAAACTTCGCACTGTTGACATATATCAACTATTTTTTTTTTCTAACCGATATGCCACTATTTGGTTCAGTTTTCTCCATCCCCTGAAGATGCAAACTTGGTTCTTGGTTGTAGAAACACGCGGCAAGAAAAGCATGGCTGGTGACTGGAAAAAGTGCTTTGTTTGAATACCTTGACTATCTTGACTAAAATTTCAGTTTTGTACAAATATATAGGTTTCTGTGTGAATATTATGATATACTTTTCAGTAGATTTCGTAGTATTCGGAATTGATTGAAAAACTACTGGCAAATGCTGCCAGAATTGTTATACATCAATTATCCAATGTTTTCTTTATCAATTGTCAGTATTCACTTCAATGAAATTAATGAAAACGCTTTTGTCTAATTACCACTAGTTAATTTTATTCATACGACCGTTTTCGGGTTCAACCCCATTATCAAGTATAAAACTGAAATGTGAACTTTGAAAACTCGGTTATATCGGGGGTTTGTAGGTAAGATAGAAGGAGGGGTAGTTGTACGAACTACTTCAAAATTCAACACTGAAGATTTTAGGGGTTGATAAACTTATAAACTCAAGAGTGGAGACCTACATAAATCGAGTTGCTCGTCGATTCCAACAAAATTGACTAGTGGCTATTAGACAAAAGTGTTTTCATTCATTTCATTAAAGTGATCATGAATTTCCACAAAATAAACAAGTCATCAAGGCCAATTGCACACACACTGATTTTGGACGGCCAGTATAAAATCGGCCGGTAAAATACCGGCCGATTTTACCGACCATAAAAATATGGTAGCGGGTGCTTGCAGATTCACCGGATTTTTACTGGTCACCGTAATTAGTACGCACTACCAAAACTAAGTTAATACGTAGTAACTACAGTTTCACGTAGCAGTCAAGACTGGAATGGTCAGTAAAAAACCGGTGAGTATGCAAGAGTGTATTTAGTCACGTACGCCACTACTTCCCGGTACTGCCGGCGAAACAGTGGCAGTGGACGGCTGTTCACCGGTATTTTACCGGCGCCGATCACCGGTAGGCATGTGTGCCAGGTCCCGTTCCCACATGTGGTTCACTATTGGAATTGGGACGACTGGTATAAAAATCAGTTTGTGTGCAATTAGCCTAACCCGGTACGGCACAGCCTAGAGCGTCCGCTGTCGGAAAGGATTCCAGCTCTGGCTAATTGCACACACACCGATTGTGGACGGCCGATTTTATACCGGTCGTTCAAATTCCAATAGTGAACCACATGTAGGTATAAAATGGACTAGCAAAATTAAGTTGTTTGTTAAGGCAAGCTCCAGATTATCCAGAAGTTCTGACAATTTGCCTGGAGTCATTCGGAAATACTGGAAAAATTTCTCCTCGTCTTCTTTCAGGTAGTTGAAAATATGATGAAACTCTTCCAGATTTGCCCTCTTTTGATTGATAGGATGGACCCACAACATTCTTTATTGTGACTATTTACTTTTACATTCAATAATGCGGCCACTATAGTGACGACTTCTTCATCAGAACTGCTAGTGATGGACATGTTTCTGTCAGTGCTCGATGTCAACTGAATTTTCCTTGAAATCGAACACTAGCACCTTCAGTATGCTGATTGTAGCTGGACAAATGGGCGATGCTACTACCCGTCGCCATCAGGCGACAGACAGCGACGTGCTGTGCTGTGCCGGACAAGTAGGCGACAAGCTCGATTGGCGAAGTATTCGCAGCAGATAAAACCGCCACCTTCATTCATTGTTCATCATCAACTCATTTCTAGTGGGATAGTTTTTTTCATGAACAAACGGATGGTACCGCAATGGAAAGTCCATATTGGCTGTGTTATGTTGATGACATGATCGTGGTAGGTATGGCAAGATGGTGAAGAAACACTAGTTGATATTCTATCATGTCTAAACTCTCTCCACTGAAAAATTCAATTCAAAGTGGAACGAGAAACCTATGGGGCCTCTATTCTTCTTGGATGTTCTCCTAAACAAACGTGAAGATGGTACATTGGGCTACAGAGTGTACAGGAAACCAAGACACACAAACAGGCACCTGAACAAAAACTCTAACCAGCCACAACAAAAAAGGAAGGGTAATCAAAACGGTTGTTGAGAGGCACGAGTTATCTGTGAACCTGAGAGTCTTCCTGAGGTACTCAGTCACCTAAAAGTGCCTTCAAAGGCAAAGGAAGAGGATTCGAGCGGGCCATAGGACCCAGAAGAGAGAACACCGGCTAGGCTAGTCAAAGAAAGACCTTTCTTTTTCTATGTTGAAAATATTATAGATCGGAATGGGAGAATAACATAAAACACGACGTGAAACCAATATTTAGGCTGACGAAAACTATCAGAGAAAGTTAAAGATTAGGTAAGGACCACAGATAACTTTCAGCAAAAATAAAATCTACTCAACAAAAGTTGAGTGAATGCTCTTGGTATTGGAATTGGAATTATGATTGAGTATTTACCTCAGAAGGTAGTTCTCACTGGTGATTACGTGCCAGAGACATGATTGTGCCAAGACATATTGGTGTCCATTTTGACCTCCAACAAACTTATCGAAGCAGAAAGCGGAATTGTCTGACTTGATATTATCATATCCTTTTCGGAGACATTTATCTTTTTGGAGGAAACCGATGCCTGGGTTTTTGTGGCATTGAATTGAACCTGGTTACTTCCACCATAATTTGAAATCACTTCTAGATCCTCATCGAGATACGCAACCTCCTGCTGCCGGTGAACATGTGACACCGTAGCCGATGTCCTGGAATCCAAATGTAATGACGAGACGAGTGTGCTGTCGTCAGCAAAGCAATGAATTGGATTCTTGGTTTTTTCCAATAAGTCGTTGATATACAATGAAAAGAGGGTTGAAGACAATATGGATCTCTGGGGAACACCAACGTTGATGTTGAAAAAACGTCCTACAACAGAGATATACACGGTGCAACCGTGTATATAGTTCAATTCATAGAAGTACAGAAAGAAAACATGAATACTCCACTGTCCTAAACACATGATTTCTAGCTTATGGAAATTTTGAAGTAATATTGAAACTAAGCATCACTGTTATGAGGAGATTTGGAAAGTTCAAAACAGTTTTCATATCGAACAGTTCATGGGCGTCTATAAACGAATCTTGTTCATTTTTCCACAATGGATTGCTTTGACTCGTGGGAATATTCTTTTTCAGTTACTAGATTCAGGTTTCGTATATGCAGATCTTAGACAAACTAATTTCATGTCAAATTCGTACCTGTAGTTTATCAACGTACAAACAGGCAACTGGATGGTCATTATTTCAGTTCATATACATTTAAAGAATTCCTACTGCAAACTGTCAATTTTGACAGAACTACTGTCACAAAATTGAAGTTTTGACGTTATCAACATTGGTCGAATAAACATGGGTTCAACATTATCGTGTGTTGGGAGGGTGAGAATTACAAGAGAAAGTATTCCAAAATACAATTGAGCAGTTTCAGGTTCCATCAGCGGAAAGAGTGGAGTATGATTTGACTCCTCTGCAAAACAAAAATCTACCGATAATATGGATGGCTGGACAGCAGAATGTGGGTAAAAAAACTCATGGAAACCTCATAAAGGAAAAATATAGCTTCGAAATTCTAAATACTACGGATTTATTACGGCGAGAAGCAGAGAAAGAAACAAAAAGGGGATTTCTTGTGAAGGCTGCCCTCGCGGCTGATAAAAATGTTAATGACGTGAGTTGGAGCATTATTGAATATTCAGCAAAAGGAGCTCACATTTTTTGTCAATGGAAACCATTTATCATAACAAAGTAGGATTTTGGTATCATCATTTATTTATGCACTGCCTGTAAAAATAAATTGAGGGGATTTCGTTCTGGTAATATTGGTTGTTTCAAAAGTTTTCTCCGCTATTATGGGTCTGATTTGAACTGTAATATCTTAGTGATCACTAATTCGAAGGAATCGAAATAAGTGACATTTAGATCATTGCACTTTTGCCAATGTAATACAAGTCGATCAATTCCGTCAGCATGCATGTGATGACTGTCAGACCAATGAACACTTATGGTGCAATTTCATCGTGGCCGAAGGCTCTACAGAAAACGGTCCAGGCGATGCTCTCTGGCTTACAGAGACAGGCTTGTCTGGCCATCAGTGATGCCATCAGGACTACACCGTCAGCGGCCATGGAGATCCTTCTAGATTTACCCCCTCTCCACATTTTTCTGGACAGAGGGGTTAGATGGAGTACACAAATAAATTTAGTGCAGAGTGCAACAGATTGTTGGTTGACACTAGGTGTCACAGCATTCTAGAAATGACCCCTGACTTTATGCCTCCAACTGTCAACTACGAACTGCCTTATAAAGTACTGTTCCCGAGTAGAGAGGACTGGATCCTCCGAGAGAAGGAAATATTAAGAGCAGATAGTTGTTGCTTCACAGATCGATCAAAAACACGTTCTGGTGCAGGTGTTTCTACTTTTCGCTGTTTTTCCGACTTGGAAAAGTTGGGAAATTTCCGGCCGTGAAGATAGAAAAAATAATAGTAGAAATCAATAAGCACAATATTATTTAAGTGTTGTTTCCTTTAATTTGTATTGAATATTCCTATACATTGTGGATATTATTTTTGTTTGTGCATGCCCTAACGGGCATAAGCATTCAGCCAATCTTTGGATAGCTAAGTAAGAAAATTAATATATTATAGTAGTAACTAAACTCTCTCGGCTTTCATTTCTTCGAAAGTTGGGAAATTTTGCTAGTGGGGTTGGGAAAATTTGGATTCCCTCTCCCTCTGGTTTTTCTTTTCGCTACGGCCCTGAATGAAAACCCTTGTTTTTGACTGGGTTAGTAGAACAATAACAATCATGTTAACTGTTGATAAATATTGTTCATGAAACAATATATAGAAAAGAAGAAATGTATCAATAATAGTATTTTATTGTGAATTAGGGTGAAATAAATTATCTGTTGAACTGAACTTTTCCAATGTGAGCACATTTTCAATTTTTTCACTATTATCTAATATCCAGTTAATGCTGTTGTTCTCAACTTTTCGATTTCTCGTGAAATTATATTGTAAATTCTACAACCAATTGATATGCAGTGTTGTTGCATCAAATGGTCTTTGATCTTGTATCATACTGATGTTCTATTATGTTAGTATTTTTTTCATATAGATGGTACTGATTTTGTAAAATGTTTGTCTGATATTTGAAATGAAATATTTTCTGAATAAAGCTGTCGATGGAAATCTGAAAGCTTTTTTAAAAATAATTTTTATTGTATATACTTGACAGATTTTCACGAATTTTCATATACACCACCTCAGGCTATGATTCCGTAGGTCATAATATTGGAAAATAATGCATGATAAAACATCAATAGTGTTTTCACTTCAAATATATTTCTCAGAAGTCTGAACCTATAAAGATATTTTCTTGATTTTTTTGTTAATTCAAGTAAATGTTTTTTCCACTTCAGGCAACAATCTATATAAATTCCTAAATATTTTATTTGTGGGGTTCTGTTTAATTTAAGAGTGCAATTGCATTTTTGAAAATGTTTCTGTAAACATTTCGAACTATGAATTTTCATTTCATCAAATTTTGGTTGATATTTTTCACTACATGAAAATGTCATGAATTTAGTTTTCGTGATATTGAGCGTGAGCAAGTCATAACTCAAGTTATGTTTCAAAATTGACATGTCAACCTCAGCCTTCGATATGGTCTCATCCCAGTTATCTCCATCCACCACTTATACATCTGGATGTCATCTGGATATGAATATAAATCACCATGAAAAAGCAGAGCACATACTCTGTGACTGCCCCGCTGGGGACCGAATCAGGTTTTCAAAGTTCGACAGCCGTACTGGACTATGTAATGCACCTCTATTGATTTATTTTGAAACGTGTTTTCGTGTAGGTATGCCTAATTCAGGATAAGTTTATTTTCGGAAATGATCGTTATAGAATGAAAATGTACGAAGTGGTCCACTGTAACCCGCGAGGGTTTATTGTGGCTTTTCAAACTGGGTCAAAAAATTTCAACTTCCCTACGAAACCAAAAACAGAAATTCATGAAATGTCGGAAAAAAAATCAAGGAATTACGTTCTTGATACTCAGAAGTCAGAGGCTCAGCAAACGTTTCTGGAAATTTCGAATATTTCAATATTCATATTCATTATCTATAAGTAAGTTGCGAAAAAATCTGTTTTTCAGCTTTCGAAGAGAAATTATGGAATGTACTGTATAAGTGTCATTCTACAACCCGCTTATTAGGATTCAACGAATTTCTGAAATAACTGAGCTTCAAAAATTTAAAGATCGTTTTTTACAAGTAGCCATCGATAGCTTCACTATCAATGCTGTTGTTTATTGGAGATACACATTGTCTTTTCTATTATGCAATAACTATTTTCCAATGAATACACTCTTTGGCTCTCTACTTCTCCACCATTATTCAAAACAAAAAACGTGGGATACTCACAAAGGAAAGAAGAATGGAAAACAACTATAAAGAAAACTCTTCACGAAGCTATGTAGTTCGTACAACTGGAAGAAAAAACCCTTTTGAAGCAACTATTTTCACACGAACATTGAATAACATGAAAGGAAAAAGTTCTTTTGAAACAACTATTTTCATGTGATTATTGAACTACACGAATATCACTTTTTTATCCAGTTTGTACTACAAATATTCGTTGTGGAACTAAAACAGATGTCATTCATGAAAAATCTGCTCAGTATGATATAAGAAAGAGTCACGATATGAAATTTCACTTTGGTGGACCGCCCTCATCCTCAATGGTGTGTTTCGAAGTTTCGGGACACGCAACTTGTCTCATCAACCCCGTAACGACTTTATGTGACCGAAAGAGACAACTGTTTTGTTTAATGATGGAGTCAAAAAAGCGAATTTTTTCAAAAAACTAGTCCGTTTTTAAATTTTGAATGGCCCCATCTCCGAGAGTTCATGACTGCACCAAACACCAAACTTTGACTAGCGATCTGTAGATAGTGTAGAAAAATACGTTTGAATATGTTTAAAATATGTTTTTTCTGTCAACCAGCTATCGCATCCCTACGAACGACAACCTTCAGAAGTCTTAACTTGTGCGAACTAAGGACTAACGAGGTCTTACCTTTTAACGTGTGATTCCTAACACAGGTTGGACAATAGCAAGTTAAAATCAAGCGTTCAGCTTGAGACTTGAACCATCGCCTCACATATTGGCCGATTGGCTGAGTGAACAAAGCACCCACGTCGAACCGCCCGGCTGGCGCCCGACGTGACAATGGAAATCAATTAAAAACTGGAAATCCGCTCAAAATATCAAGTTCAATGTTCAATACATATATGAATAACTTCAAGTTCCAGCTATTAAAAAAATCTTGTAGTAGTTCTGTCTTCATTTCCAATTCTGCATACCGATTTCTTTTTAGCGAATAGTCATCGACATATTGAAAGAAGCCCTTCTGGAATCGAACAATGACAAAGGATTTGTGATCAGCAACTTCCCGAAGAATTCCAAGCAAGCTGAATTATTCATGAAAGAGATCGGAAATGTTTCTTTCGTTTTCTACTTATTCTCGGACACCACAATTCTTATCGACCGGGCGCAGAGAAGGTCTTCAGTTGAACTAGACGAAGATACACTCCGCAGAAACATTGCTTCTTCGTCTCGGGATATCAAAGCTGGTCTAGGAAAATTCATCATGAAAATTGAGGGAGTAAGTTATCTCTTACTTATATAATGAAAAATACGTTGAAAACTAGCCACTGCATACGACTTTATTGCCTGGACTTTACGTTTAGGGTTTTCCGAAATGTTATTCAAACAAAAACCGTTCGGGTATGTGATTCAGTTTTATTTGGTCGATCAGTATATTTCACGAATTTTCAAATCCTTTCCCAAAGATTGAGTTTCAAAGCTTTTCCTCCCATACATCAAAGTAATGGTTTTCAAAATTGTAATTTGTCTTCTCACGCAAGAAAGTACTCATATGACTCTTCGTTCTTTCGAAAAGGGTTCGTCCCGTTTGGCCAACATAAATTTTTGGGTAAGTACCACAAGTTAGCTCGTGTATTTAGATAGACTAAAAAGTTCGTAGGCTAACACACAGATGGCGCGACTAGTATCAAATCAGTTAACCCTAACCTTCAAAATAAACGTGTGCAAATTTCACAGCTGTCGGACTATTTGTTTGTGGGATAGAACATTTTAAAGTAAGCTTCTTTTTTTAGTTTGCAGCCAAGGCTGGGCTTGATAAACATTATTAGCACCAGGAAAATCAACCATTGAGAAATGGTTTTGCTAAGTTTAAACGAGGTTACTGACGAAAACGTCAAAAAAGTCCACAAAATAACTTTTGATGACCGCAAAGTGAGTTTGATCGAGATAGCTAAGGCTCCAAAGATATCAAAGAAACGTGTTGGACATTTCATGCATGAATATTTGGATATAGGAAAGCTCTTGTGTGACAATGGATGAAACATGGCTCCATCATTACACACTATAATCAAAACTATCGTAACCTGAGTGGACTGCACGTGGTCAACCGACTCCAAAGTGTACAAAGATGCAACAGTCGGCTGGCAACGTTAGAATGGCATCAGTATTTTGGGATGCGACTATTTCATAACGTTATTGAGGCGTTTGAAGGACGAAATCGGGAGAAAATGGTTTCATTCGAAGAAAAAAAGTGCTGTTCCATCGTGTCACAAATCAATGGAAACGCTGGCAAAATTTCATGAATTGAGCTTTGAATTGCTTGCGTATCCACCGTATTCTCCAGATCTGACCCCTAGCGACTTTTTCCTGTTAGACCGCTAGAGAGGGCTCGTTCGAAAGAAATTCAGCGTCAATGATGAAGAGAGGTCTATTCGAGACAAATCGTACTATCAAAGTGATATAAAAATTGTATGACCACTATAGTAATTGTGTTGCCCTCAAAGCAACTATATTGAATAACAAAATCAAATTTTGTGGAAGAAATTTTTTTCCTATCTGTATCTGTGCAGTAGGGAGGGTGAGTGTAGGCCACATGTGACCCATTGTACATCCTCCCGAGGAGTTGTCCTTCTAGGTCATCGACCATCCTGTCCTTTCCAGGAAGGTGGACAGGTCACTAGGAGACATCTTCTTTATATTGGCAGGTGTAGGCCAAGACTCGCCGAACACACACTCTCTTTGGCAACCTTGAGGTTGCAGATTGTGCAGATTATTATGTTTTTGCCAGAAATTCCTTTTCTGGTTATTTCTTGTGTGGCGATTGAGATACTATCCAGTTCTGTTTGAACCACGCTGGTATTTTTTCATTCCCTACTTAATCCTTAGGCTTAATGATCTGGAGTACACTCTACATCCTGATCCTTCGTTGGTTTTTGAGCCGTCTATGGTTTTCTATATTAACCGTTGGTATTTTCCAGTTGACTTTTTTCAATGCCTTCTTTCTAAATGTTTAACGTAATTAATAACGTGGCTCCGTTCTTGGTTATCTGCTTTCCATTCTCTCCAGATCAAAATGATCAGTATCTCTCGCAAAAACTATCTTCGGATGAGGTTTTTGGTTAAGAAGTTGTTTCTTGAACATTTCTGAGTTTTACATTCCATAATTTGAGCATTTTTTAAATCGTCAACTATTGAAACAATTGATAGATACGAAATTGAACTCAATTCATTAATTTTTCAGGTGGTGTTAAGTTAAGAACCTAGGAATATTCAAGGAGGATCATTTTCATCCCTCCTTGCCTCTGTCCTATTGGATTTTTTTTCGTATTTCACTTTGTTTGTCACTTTGTTATTTTGGCATCCTCATATGAGTACTTCTACTAGTTTTTGGTTCTCATTATCCTTCTATTTCATTTTTGTTCCAATCAAAGTATTTCCTTGATTTCATTTAGACTTTTTTCATCTTTCATTCAAATTTCAAATACTGAATCATTCATTTTTCAGATCAATACTAGTGGCAGACCCGAAGAAGTATTTTCGAAAGTGGAAACTGCTCTCATCCGTAGACTAAACACAAATCGTCCTATAGTAACAGAAACGGATTATGTACGACCACAAGAAGAAAACGAAGAGAGTGAACAAGAAGTTAACGAAGAAATGACAGAAATTGGTCATGAGAGCAAGATGGAACAGGTACCACTGGCTGAACCGGAACAGGTACCTTTGCCTGAACCGGAACAGGCACCACTGTCTGAACCAGAACAGATACCACTCCCTGAATCGGAATCGATAATAGAAAAGGATGAAGAGAGTTCTGTAACCTCCGATTCGGATTTATTCTGACAGACATATCCTCAATTGAGCAACCGATTTTCATAATAGACATATCCGTTACATGTAACAAACGAATATAATTTTAATTTATCACAAAAGCAGGTATTTCTTTTTGTTTCCACAATGAGACGGTTCTTACTTCTCATTCTGATATTCACGGTTGTATATCCCAGAAAACATTGTGTCCCAGCAAAAAAGTTTTTGAGGTATTCCAAAATCAAAAGTTGTTACAGATCTACATTACCGTTGATTTCTTTAACAAACGTCAACAAGGTGGAGGAATGCATGAGATTTGCACGCAGAAAAAATGGTTTGGCTTTCAATTTCAGTCCAAAAGAAGCCCAGCAACATGTTGAAGGCTCCGTTGTAAATTGTCAGGTGTTGAGTTGTACTGAAGTCAAAAATAGTTTTACTTTGGTTCCTGATTTATCTTTCGACTATTATAGTGCCTATGGAAATAGTAAGTACTGTAATAATGTAGCCTTCAGCTGGGTTATTTTTTTAAATGCGATTATTAACGATATATTCTATACAATCCCGCCGTAGTCACCGCTGCAAATGTTCATAATTACATTTTTCCATTATATCAAGGTTCAATTTGGTTGGTCTTTTTATATGTGGAGTGTAGGGACACAAATTAGCAGTTTCTTCAACCGTATCAGTACCTACTTGACATTTTATAAATTGTAAACTTGATAATAATGTATACGGAAACCCCATAGACGTTAAAATGTAACTGCATTTCATAGGACAGTAAATAACAACTCAAACAGGTAATGACGATGACTTTAGAGAAACAGGTAGATATTAGGAAAACGTAATTGAAAAAAAAAATATGATTTAGAAAATGTTTTTCCGTTAACCAGCTATTGCACCCCTACGAACGACAACCCACAGCGAGCTAAGAACTAACGAGGTCTTACCTCTCAACGTGTGATTTTTAACACAATTACAATACAATATTGATTCTAGGTAAGCTGCTGAATTTTGAACAAGAGTGGTTAATAACGGTAAATTATTGAAACTTTATGGAAACGAGTTGAATATGGGGCAGTGATTAATTTCATGTTGGTCATTTAATAGAGAATTTGATTGTTTCTCTCCATTAATTTCCAGTGATTTCTGCAGGTTTCATTTTTGTCCTTTATTTTCTGTTTGTAATATCATGATGTAAGGAACACTCACTGTGGATCAATCTCAAGAAGACAGATGGTTTTTTTTTTCACCAGGAAGAGAAGTTTTTCGGGCTTAGAACCTCCCGAAATCTTCAAAAGCAAACTGAACTTCTCTGAAGAGGTAAAATACTGTGATACTATCCTCGACAGGAAACTAACATGGAACTCTCACCTACAAAGTAGAGCAAAAAGAGCATATGTGGCTTATGAGCAATGTCGGAGGACAGTGAGACGCACATGGGGTCTTTCACCCCGTGTGATCACCTGAATCTACACTGCGATAATAAGACCTATGTTAACGTACGAAGCCATTGCATGGGGACCGAAAGATCTACAAGTAACAGGCATCCAAAAAGTATATCAAATACAGCGATTGGCTTGTTTAAACATAACAAGAGCCATGAGAACAACACCAACAGCGGCAATAGAAGCAATTATTGGTCTGACCCCTCTGGACCTGTACGTTATGGAGGTTGCGTTAATGACCATGTTACGATTGCGGACGGCTGGTGTAAACCTCGAAGTAGAAATGGGTCGATTGAGGCTGTGCCAATGGCGAGAAGCGCTCACTCCGCAACCTCTGCTGCAGGCAACTAGTGATGCAATTGAACCTAGGTTTGTGTTTAATAAACCTTACAAAATACAAATGAAACAGAACACAGAGTCAGATGTTACAAATGCAATACGCACATATACAGACGGCTCACAAACCAAAGAAGGCTCAGGATGTGGAGTGTACTCTAGATCACTAAGCCTAAGGATTAAGTGGGGAATGGAAAAAACACTAGCGTGGTTCAAACAGAACTGGCTAGTATCTCAATCGCCACAAAAGAAATAACTAGGAAAGGAATTTCTGGCAAAAACATAACAATCTTCACTGATAGCAGACAAGCTCTATTAGCTTTGAACAGTCAACGTGTAAAGAAAACGGTAGATAATAAAATTATCCTGAGGTGGATTGAAGGGCACGACAGGAGTGAAGGTAAACGCATTGCCGACTCTTCAGCCAAAGAAGCAGCTGGACTGAGAATTTTACGACCCAGTGGCACCTAATGACTTCGCAATTGCGGAACTAGCCAAACGTTACATCCATGCCCAATTCCTAAAGAGATGAGATGAAATCAAAGGATGCAATCTTGCCAGGATCACCCTGAGCGACCCTGGGAAGCTGGCGCCGAAAAAAAATCTGGCGATGACCAGGAAAAATCTAAGCTTGACAGTAGGATTTCTGACTGGCAACTGTCAACTAAAGAAACACCTCCATAATATGGAGCTAGTGGACACATCTCTATGCAGGATGAGTGAACAGTTAGATGAAACTGCCAGGCATGTCCTATGCAAGTGTCTGGAGTTATCGTCAATAAGGGAGTTGGGCGAGTCTTGGCCTACACCTGCTGATATAAAGGAGATGTCTCCTAGTGACCTGTCCACCTTCCTGGAAAGGACAGGATGGACGATGACCTAGGAGGACAACTCCTCGAGAAGATGTAAAATGGGTCACATGTGGCCTAAATGCTGTGGGCCTACACTCACTCTCCCTACTCTACAGATACAGAAACAGATGTTGCAGTTCATGTTGAAATTGTGGTTGTTTCTTTAGCTCAAAACTTTTTTGTGTTCTGAAGCTCCGAATTCTTCCTAGGTGTTCTTCCTATGTAAACTTTTAGACATATCCAAGTGTTAGCTTGTGAACACCTGATTCATTATCATTGTCAATATTTGATATTTCTCATATTTACGAGCGCTATTCAAAAAATGGAGTGAATGTTTAAATTTCACCGTCTACGTACATTCGATTAGCGATTTGCTGTTTAGCATGTTTAGTTCGTTGGTCGGAGGCATGCAAGTTTTGTGTGATCGAATTTTGTGTGAAAAATGAAAGTCAATAAAAATACTCGAATTGTTGACAGTGGCATACGGTGATTGTACTCTGAGTCAAGGAAAAGTAGTACAGGCTTTTTACAGAAGGTCAAGAAGATGTGAATGTCTCAGCACATCAACAATCGATGAAAATGTTGAGAAAGTGCTGAATTCTGACCACAAAAACCGTCGCATGAGCATCGCTCAGGCATTGTTGAATGCCATCAACAGCGGTACAGATTTGCTCATAAGGGTCATAACTTGTGACGAATAATGGACATATTGTTATGACATCGAAACCATAGTCCAATCGACCCAGCTGAAGAGTCAAGGAGAGCTAAGACCAAAAGAAGCACGCCAAATTCGATCAAATGTCATGGTGAAGCTCGCTATTTCCTTCGATTACTGTGGTGTAATGCATCAAGAGTTCTTGCCACATAGTCGAATGATCGGATTATCTAGAAGTTATGCGCCGCTTACGAGAAGCAATACGAATAAAACGTCCGGTATTGTGGAAAAACAGTTAATGGCTCTTGCACTATGATAATCCATCTGCTCACTCGTCATTGCTTGTTTGTAATGTAATTTTTTTGGCCGAAATAACACTGTAATCAAGCTTCGGCCACCATATTCACCATATTTGGCCCCCGCGACCTATTTATTTCCCCAAGATTCGAAAGACCCATGATAGGACGGCATTTTGCGCTTCAAGGATTGGAAAAAATGCTGACACAAGTGTATTATATCTGAAGGGGAAATAATTGAAATGCACTCAATTTTTTTAACAGAGTAGTATACCGATGTGTTACCAGTCTTATATGCTATGTTATTGTTCTGTTAATGAGTGTGATTGGAATCGTTGCTGATAGTTGTGTCTGTATGAGTTTGTTTGTGGTGAGTGAGATCTACCGAATCATTGGTTTCTAGTGGAACATTCTAAACATCAGTTTTTTGTGGATAGAGTCATGTATGTATTTTTGAGATGCACAAGCACTGAAGAAAAATGCTTGAGGTGCTCAAGGTACATCGCTCAAGCGATGTCTGTATGCGTATCAGTGTACACTATATCTAGGAAAGTTTATTCCATATAGACGTCGTTCTTCGAATGAAATAATTTTCAAATAGGATGGTTGAAAGTGTATTGATATTGTAGGGCTGTTTTTGACAATTATGCCCCCAATAAAGCCAGTAGGTCTTGCATATGAATCAGCTAATTAACCTAAAAACATCGGACAAAATCGAAAAAGACACTGATCCTTCTCAGAATATCACAATTTTTTACAATATCCATCTGAAGTGTTCTAAAATAAATCTTATCTCACTATCAACTATTCCAATTGTCTATGATATTTGTGCATTCCCAAGTTTTGATTTTTTTTGTTTTTTTTTTTCATGTAACAGTTAGTAGTGATGCTATTTGTATAAGAATATAGGAGTATTGACGGTTGTCAATGAGAAACTGAATTATAAGAATGCTATAAATAATTGCCAGAAAATGGGTGCTGATTTGGCTGATGTATCCTCAGAGATACGAACAAGACATTTGTCAAAGGCGATTAATAACAGCCTTCTTGATTGGTACAAAGTTGCTTATATTGGATTGGACGACATCGATCAAGAAGGAAGTTTTATGACTGTATCTGGTTCACCACTGACTTGTTCACCCTTCAGGTAATGTATGTTCATCTTACCTCTGATTAGTTGTTTTCTGGAAAGTCTGCTTTCAGTTATCGGTTTTTGGTTTGGTGGTTAGTTAACATTAATGTACTAATGAAAATGATCATTTTGAGATTAAAAACACTAAAAGTCATCCACTTTCGTAATTACCATCAAGATAGTACTATTTCCAGTACATCCAGTCTTATATCAGATTGTTTCAAAAGTTTTGTCCATTTTTATGAGTGTACTTCACACTGTAATATCTCAGCCGTAAGCGCCACCTTCAGCAGCCATGGAGATTTTTCTAGATATACCTCCTCTCCACATTGTTTGGAGACAGCGGCTAGATGGACTGCATATAGACTTGTGTACATTGTCAATTGCACGAATCAGTCTTATTCAGA